CAAAAGGATGGCCTTTTGATTTTTTCTGTCCCAGTTGTACCAGGGAAGTTTATATGAAGAACTCAATACTTGCGATGACTAAAATGATGAGTAATTTTTAAACGCCCTGTGTATTTACATGTAATAAAGTTTACCTTGTCGAATATTTGTTGGCCACTCTCTATAGAAACGACGAAAATAACCAACGATCCATAGAGTAACCCAGGTTCGCGAATTAGGTGAATTTTAAATTGTTTCTAAAATATCGGTTAAAGTACAAAAAAGTATATACGAGGTGTGTTCAGAAAATATCGGGAATTTTCGTTTTTTGAAACAAATATTTATTTATTCGTCTACATTAATGTTGTCGCCTTCAAAATAGTCCCCATTGGATATTATGCACATGTGCCAGCTCTTCTTCCAATACTCGAAACACTTCTAAACTCGTTCTTTGGAATAGCCTTTAGTTCTTTCGGCGATGCGCTTTTAAATAAAACGACGGCCCTTTAAGGTTCTCTTTATTTTTGGGAATAGGAAAAAGTCAGACAGAGGCATGTCTGGCGAATATGGAGGCTGGGGCATCATTACAGTATTGTTTTTGGACAAAAATTTTGTTCAAAATTTAACAATTTTAGAACAAATTTTGCTGCCAAGCGTTTCATACCCAAAACATTCGAAAAAATTTCATGGGATGAGCCAATCGATATAATAACATCATCAGCGACTTCTCTGATGGTTTATAACCATTTCTTCCACTTTTTCCATGTTTTTATCGGTTGTTAATGTGCTTGTGCGTTCAGGGCGTTCGCCATCTTCAACGTCTTCACGGCCATCTTGGAAACTCTTATACCACTTGCAAACTCTTGTTTTACTTATAGCAGACTCACTATAGGCCTTTGTTAACATTTCACAGAATTTGTTTCATTTTTTAAGTAAAATTGGATACAAATTGTTTGATCAATTTCTTTTAACGAACGAAATATCACCGAGCTCATAAAACACGTCTAACCTTAGCGGCTGCCACAGACAAAGTAAACAATGAAAACAGCTAAAGTTTTATCATACTTCGGGGGCATGTATACCAATATAATAAAGAAAATTTTATGACAACCGGACCCTCCGAACCCGCGAAATTTATAAATTCCTGTTATTTTCTGAATACACCTCGTATATATACTATACTACTACTCCGATTAAGTAATTTTTTATTGTCTTGTTCGTATTGTCAATGAGCTAGTGCTTTATCTAGTTAACATAATACAGTTTTGTTGATTTTTTTTCAAAATTAACAAATACTGTTTTTATTACTATTAAATTTTAAAAACGGCTTATCTATTTTCAATTAAACCAAAAATGGCATTTTGTACAGAATATTTTTGAAAGATGGATTATAAACGCCTTTAAAATTTCAAATTGATATCTCTTTCCATTCTCCAGAAATCTTTAATAGACCACGAATGTAAAACACCCTGTATACTTTATAGTTATTGGACAATTAACATTAATACTGTAAAAACAAGAGTTCTATATATAGTTACTTTAAAGTCAAATCATTAGATGACGCTGTATACAATTATAACTATCTCAGTTGGTAATAATATAGAACTACTTTATTTTAGGACAAAAAAGTTTGGTGGTAAGATTATAATAAAAAATATTTTTAAAAAGTGTTCAGATTAGTGTGTGGTATAAATGTGTTCCTCATGGTTTAATGCGTTTTAATTTTAATTCCAGTGTCCAATTACTGGTTGGTAAAAAGTGTTAATTTCTATTATTGGAAATATTATGTCCAATATCATACTCTATTTGAATCCCGGACATTTACCAGCCAATTCTTATGTAAAATTGTCCCCTGAATCCGAAAAGACCGTCAAAAACCATAAAAGTTAAGCAGTTTTTGAGATATAGTCAATTCCATATTATATGTAAAATATGTAAAACTTTAGACGACATTTTCGGATTCAGCGAATAATATTTCATACGAATTGACTGCTAAATGTCCTCTATTCAAATTGCTGTTGACGAGAATTATTAGGGGCTGCTTTTTCGCTATGACATTTTTAACTAATTCATTTTTAGAGAGTAAGTAATATAGTGATTTCTTCGTCACATGACATCTTGCAAAATAACAGTGATTTAAATACAGTGCATGATAGAGAACATTATAAATGCTTCACAAACTAGAGATACCACACTTAATGATATTTGCAACAAACTATTTTAGAAGTCAGACCAAGAAATTAGTAGTTACCTTCAGAATCCAGAAAAGGGATGAGGAATCCGAGAAAGAAATATATGATTTTTATGATATTTACAAAAATGAAATAAAAAAAATTACCTAAAACAGCAATTTATCTTTAAAAAATATTTAACAATTTATGTTATTTGTTGTAAAGTTGTTATGTTTATATAAAATTTTTATGTCCAATTACTATATAAAATGTCCAATTATTATACTTTTTGCAAGTGATATCAACTTTGGTTTTTCTAATGGAACCATATAAATAATTATTGCATTTTTAAATTCTACAATTCTAGAAATACTAAAATTTGATTATTTTTAACAGTTTTTAAGATATTTAATTTTTTTCAAAATTTTTGTCTAATATGTCTGTATATAAATTTTTTATTAACCTCCATTAAAAACATAACTTCACATAGCCAAAATACTGCAGAAGCCATCGTGTAAGCTATAACCAATCCGTAGGTTAAGTCCTGGACCATTCTAGCAAGTCTAAAAGAAAATTTGGGATTGTTCATTAAAAAATTTAAAAAAAATACCTCATTAATTTTTCTCTTCGGTAAAAGCAAAATCTCAATCTCCCATAAATTAATCGTTGTTCTGCAGTTGTGCTTAGGTGGCTTTGCATTTTGGGGATTGTTTTTAAAAAATCTTCATAAATAAACAGTTGGCAAACCCATTTAACGGTTATATAACACATAATGGCTGGGCTTATTGCAGTTTCGAAAAACATAATAAAATTTAAAACATAAAAGAAATGTTCGAACCAAAAAAAATAATCTGAAAAATGCCATCTCACGAAATCCAAAGCGAAAAATATTTCCGGCTCGTTTGGTAGGCGCAACTGTTGCACTACATAGGCCAACAAGCAAGACCAAGTAAATGCAACTACCAATATAAAATTTGTAAATTTTGAAATCCATAAAATTTTCCTCTGGGTTGATTTTGACGAGTTTTTATGTGATAAGGCCGATAGTTTAATACCATCCAAAATTTTGACAATCCGTTTTTCAAGAATTAAGATGGATGCGGAAGATACCAACATCTGAAACTAAAAGATTAAAAAACATATCGGGTTATTTTTATTTCGTCATTAATATTGGGACTTTACCAGCAAGTTAAAATTTATTTGGTAAAATATAACTTGTTGGTTAATTTACCAAAAAGTTATATCAAAATTTAACTAAACCAAAAATATGTCTAAAAAATAACTAGTTTTAACCAGTTAGTATATTGTTATGTAACTTCTCAAATAACCTACTAACCAGTTAAATATTTGGTTTGCGTTATATATATGGGTGAATATATTGAGATGTTCCCTAAGCAAAAAAAATATTTTTTATTTTTGTTGTTTCACTGTTAGTCCAGAATGGGGTTTTTGGGAAGCCACCAGGTCTAATAATAACATAACATAAGTGGTTCTGCACTAATGCAAGAATTTTAAGAAATCATACATTTTGAATATTAGAGCTTCACGGAGGTTAGGATTTCGTATGTTTTTTTTAAACATCCCTTTGTATATTTGAAATAAGTTATTGTATATTTTGACACCTTTATATTTTTAAAAAATACAATTGTACATACATAAAATATTTATAAAAAAATCTACTTACTGAGATATTACACTTCACGGTGGATAGGTTTTAAATAGCAAATTAATGAACTTTAACTTTTGAATTATAAAACAGCAACACTCTCATCTGCATATAAATTCTAACTGACCTTCAGGAATCACATGCATCTATAATGTCGTAAACAGAGGTTTTTGCTTATTTAAAATGATTAAAGCGCCATCCGTTGCATAAAATTTAAAGCAAAAACAGATTCACGGAGGATAGAATCAATTTTTGTAACACCTACATAAATGGTTATAAAAATTATTTCTTTTAATTTTTAATAATATTTTATATTTGATTCGATTGCTTTGAATGTGTTTAATTTACTTAGTGAACTGATATTTTTAGTATGCTTTTAATACTTCAGATATTTGAAAACATATAGGTTAACCTAGAAAGAGTAGCAGTCACGGAGGATAGGTTTTAGACTTTTAAAACATTGTAAAAAATAATTAATTGCGGTTAAAAATCTGGAACCTGAGCTGTAATATCAACTTAATTATGAAAGATCAAAACACAATAAAAGGGTAGGTCAAACTCATTTAGTTTTATTAAAATTTAATATCACGGGGTAACACCATCGGGGGACATTTCGTGAGATTCACTTATATATAAAAAGAAAAAATAAAAGAAGAAAAAAATCAATTTCACCTGATGGGAAATTTCTAAGAACTATTAAAAAATTCAAGGAATTAGGCTGGAAATTGCTGCCGTATCCACTTTATTTGCCAGATCTGGTACCTTGTGACTGCTACCTGATTTAAACAGGAAAAAAACCTACTCAAATTTAGCTAGGCTAGGCCGAGTGAATTAACTATATTGAGTAAACAAAATGATTTTTGTACAAAAAAGTGTTTTTCTTGGTTTGGCATGTCATGGACTTAATGAATGGGCTACTCGGTATAAAATCACTTACTACAGCATATAATCCCAGTGAAAAAGAATATTGAAAAATCTCCTTCAGAGTAAAAACCATAGCTATGTAAATCACGTGAATTATATTATGGCAAAGATGAAATATAAATACAGCAGCTCTAATGTGTTTAATTATTTTGCTGAATATAAAATTTTTATACAAAAAGTAGGAATAATATAATGGGTCATCTAAAAAAGCAAAACATTGTTATGTATTATTATTATTTGTGCTTATAACTTTTTGTTACCTGTTTCTCTTAGAAGAGGTTCTCCCCAAACCATTTTTATTTGCTGTATGAGATATTTTTCGTTAATATATATTCCTGATGATTTTATAATTTCAAGTTTACATGTTAAAGGTCAATAAAGCTAATTTTAAATTCTTTTGATAATATCAAAGTGTCTTGCTAGGTTGATCCATTTTGGACTTGCATTGTCCTTATAAATACGACGTGTGTTCAGAAAATAACGGGAATTGTTAAATTTCGCTGGTTCGGAGGGTCCGGTTGTCATAAAATTTTCTTTACTATGTTGGTATACATGCCCCCAAAGTATGATAAAAAGTTTAGCTGTTTTCATTGTTTACTTTGTCTGTGGCAGCCGCTAAGGTTAGACGTGTTTTATGAGCTCGGCGATTTTTCGTTCGTTAAAAGAAATGGATCAAAGAATTTGTATCCAATTTTGCTTAAAAAAAATAAATAAATTCTGTGAAATGTTAACAAAGGCCTATAGTGAGTCTGCTATAATTAAAACAAGAGTTTACAAGTGGAAAAGAGTTTCCAAGATGGCCGTGAAGACGTTGAAGATGACGAACGCCTCGAACGCACAAGCTCATTAAAAACCGATACAAACATGGAAAAAGTGGAAGAAATGGTTATAAACCATCAGAGAAGTCGCTGATGATGTTGGTATATCGATTGGCTCATCCCATGAACTTTTTTCGAATGTTTTGGGTATGAAACGCGTGGCAGCAAAATTTGTTCTAAAATTTTTGGCCAAAAACAATACTGTAATGATGCCCCAGCCTCCATATTCGCCAGACATGCCTCTGTCTGACTTTTTCCTATTCCCAAAAATAAAGAGAACCTTAAAGGGCCGTCGTTTTGCAAGCATAGATGGCATTAAAAGCGCATCGCTGAAAGAACTAAAGGCTATCCCAAAGATCGAGTTTTAGAAGTGTTTCGAGTATTGGAAGAAGAGCTGGCACATGAGCATAATATCCTATGGGGACTATTTTGAAGGCGACAACATTAATGTAGACGAATAAATAAATATTTGTTTCAAAAAACATTCCCGATATTTTCTGAACACACCTCGTATAAACCTATAGGTTTTGTGTGATAATGGAGCCTAAAACAAATAATCAAAATGAGTTGAAAAACCTTATTAATAATTTTAATATAAATGTTGTTCAATTTTTAGAGATTTCTGAATATTAGCTCTTATTATTATTATTGTAACATGTATATATTTTTTACTGAATATAAAGTATAAACATATATTTTTAATTCAGTTTTCCTAAAAAAACATTTTATTTAGATGGCAGGCATTTGAATGGCAATAAAGGCAAAAGAAAAGGCAATTGTACTTTTTAGTCAGTGTTTATTTATTTTTTCATTAGTAAGTACATAATCCCACGACTGTATGTATTCCGGCTTTTTAGTGCCTGTTTACACGTTTCTATATTTAAATTCGCATTTTAATAAAAGCAATTTGTACTTTTACCAACGCTCCATTAGATTCAATCGGGGGAAAAATATTTTTACAAAAATCCGTCTGTAAAAAACAGACTGATTTTTGTAAATTGTTTTATTTAAAGCAAAATTATTAATAAATGTGTAAATTGTGTAAATGGTGGCCTTCGACTTCAATGCATTTATTAAAACGCATTTCGTTTTAATATTCTATTCCCAAATCTCTAGATCATTCTCGTGTGAGGATTAGCGGCCGTTGCTGCTAATACATTAATTTCATTATTTCCACCTGTGACTGTTGCTCGACGAACTCTTTTTTTTGGTTAAACACTCCCGTTTGTAGTAAACTGCTTGACTGTACGGTAAAATGAAGTACGTTATTGAATTTTATCCGGAAAACGCTGAGCGTATATATTAACAGCATCATCAAGATTCCTGCCTGCTTCTCCATAAATCAAAATCATTTCTATTTTTTCTTCCACTGTTAAAAAATCCATTATGAATAACTGCTTAACGAAAGGAAGTATGTTTGTTTGCAATTTAATCTTCTAACTAAATTGATTAAATAATGCTAAACTATAAATAGTTTCTTTATACCTCAATAATAATAATAATTATTTATAACTAAATAATTGTATACCTCAATTAGGATTAAATTAATTAATTGACAAAAAATGTTTTTTTTTACCTTAAATGAGGTATTTTTTATAAAAAATGGTACACTAATCCTTTAAATTAAATTAAATTAAATTAAATTAAATTAAATTAAATTAAATTAAATTAAATTAAATTAAATTAAATTAAATTAAATTAAATTAAATTAAATTAAATTAAATTAAATTAAATTAAATTAAATTAAATTAAATTAAATTAAATTAAATTAAATTAAATTAAATTAAATTAAATTAAATTAAATTAAATTAAATTAAATTAAATTAAATTAAATTAAATTAAATTAAATTAAATTAAATTAAATTAAATTAAATTAAATTAAATTAAATTAAATTAAATTAAATTAAATTAAATTAAATTAAATTAAATTAAATTGAATTGAATTGAATTGAATTGCATTGAATTGAATTGAATTGAATTGAATTGAATTGAATTGAATTGAATTGAATTGAATTGAATTGAATTGAATTGAATTGAATTGAATTGAATTGAATTGAATTAAATTAAATTAAATTAAATTAAATTAAATTAACTTGAATTGAATTGAATTGAATTGAATTGAATTGAATTAAATTAAATGAAATTAAATTGAATTGAATTGAATTGAATTGAATTGAATTGAATTGAATTGAATTGAATTAAATTAAATTAAATTAAATTAAATTAAATTAAATTAAATTAAATTAAATTAAATTAAATTAAATTAAATTAAATTAAATTAAATTAAATTAAATTAAATTAAATTAAATTAAATTAAATTAAATTAAATTAAATTAAATTAAATTAAATTAAATTAAATTAAATTAAATTAAATTAAATTAAATTAAATTAAATTAAATTAAATTAAATTAAATTAAATTAAATTAAATTAAATTAAATTAAATTAAATTAAATTAAATTAAATTAAATTAAATTAAATTAAATTAAATTAAATTAAATTAAATTAAATTAAATTAAATTAAATTAAATTAAATTAAATTAAATTAAATTAAATTAAATTAAATTAAATTAAATTAAATTAAATTAAATTAAATTAAATTAAATTAAATTAAATTAAATTAAATTAAATTAAATTAAATTAAATTAAATTAAATTAAATTAAATTAAATTAAATTAAATTAAATTAAATTAAATTAAATTAAATTAAATTAAATTAAATTAAATTAAATTAAATTAAATTAAATTAAATTAAATTAAATTAAATTAAATTAAATTAAATTAAATTAAATTAAATTAAATTAAATTAAATTAAATTAAATTAAATTAAATTAAATTAAATTAAATTAAATTAAATTAAATTAAATTAAATTAAATTAAATTAAATTAAATTAAATTAAATTAAATTAAATTAAATTAAATTAAATTAAATTAAATTAAATTAAATTAAATTAAATTAAATTAAATTAAATTAAATTAAATTAAATTAAATTAAATTAAATTAAATTAAATTAAATTAAATTAAATTAAATAAAATTAAATTAAATTAAATTAAATTAAATTAAATTAAATTAAATTAAATTAAATTAAATTAAATTAAATTAAATTAAATTAAATTAAATTAAATTAAATTAAATTAAATTAAATTAAATTAAATTAAATTAAATTAAATTAAATTAAATTAAATTAAATTAAATGAGGTATTTTTTATAAAAAATAGCACAATAATCCTTTAAATTTAAGGATTTAATGCTGGCAGGGAAAAAGTGACCATGGTGCGCAATTGATAATTATCACCGAATAAAATAATGTATAAAACTTAAACCAAAGGAACTTAAATATTAGTTAAAAAATCGTGCGTACTTACAAAAATTAGATTTTATTTAATAAGATAATTATTACCAAAACAAGTGATATTTTTATAAAAAAATTATTGCAGAATCGTATGCAGAAGAAAAATCGAACAAAATTGATTTTTTTTATTATAAATATAACCCGGTTGACCAAATTGTGTCAAAATTAAAAAAATACTAAGAAAGTGTAATTAAGGTACCAACTAAATATGTACCTGAAATGCTTGAGCAATCGGTTGACACAATATTAAATAACAATTTAACAGCTCGTTGCCCATATTTTTTGATAATGTGGGCCCCCATTAAATATCTATGTAGAGCATATTCTTACTTGCAGTTAGAATATTTAATGAGTTTGACCTAAAATAGATTTTTATGATTAACCTACAAATTATGTGCTTTGATATTACAGCTCAGGTTCCAGATTTTTAACCACAATTAATTATTTTACAATGTTTAAAAGTCTTAAACCTATCCTCCGTGACTGTTACTCTTTCTAGGTTAACCTAAATGTTGTTAAATATCTGAGGTAGTAAAAGCATACTAAAAATATCAGTTCACTAAGTAAATTAAACACATCCAAAGCAATCGAATCAAATATAAAATATTATTAAAAATTAAAAGAAATAATTTTTATAACCATTTATGAAGGTGTTACAAAAATTGATTCTATCTCCGTGAATCTGTTTTTTCTTTAAATTTTATGCAACTGAGGGCGCTTTAATCATTTTAAATAAGCAAAAACCTCTGTTTACGACATTATAGATGCATGTGATTCCTGAAGGTCACTTAGAATTTATATGCAGATGAGAGTGTTGCTGTTTTATAATTCAAAAGTTTAAGTTCATTAATTTGCTATTTAAAAACCTATCCACCGTGAAGTGTAATATCTCAGTAAGTAGATTTTTTTATAAATATTTTATGTATTTACAATTTTATTTTTAAAAAATATTCTAGATTAACAGTGAAACAACCAAAAATTAAAAATAATCATTTATTAAGATCATTTCTTTAGTTTTTGTCTACCTGAATGAAGGCCTCTCAACTGCCCACTGTATAAACTGCAATAAATATTAAAGGAATTTCAGGTGCATAACTTAGCGAAAACAGCAACTTAAAATAAACA